GGTGGCCGGGGGGGGGGGGGGGGGCTCTCTCCATCCCTGTGAGCTCCGGGAATACTTGCCAAGCTTCTCCTTGGCTCAAGCCATGGGCCAGGACAGAAAACACCTGTGAAATCATCTGAACCTCCTGCCAACCCAGCCGAGGGCACTGTTATCTGTTATGTTCCAGAAACGGAGAGATTATACCATGGAGAAGAGCCAGCTCAGCTCAGTTGCACTGTGGCTGCACTTTGGAACCCTCCGGCAGCCCATCAGGGTCAGGCACCCCTGCTACCATGGCAAACAAATCCAACTACCCTGCCCACATAAAACCGGGTACAGATTAGGGAACAGTTTGCCCCTGTTTCCAGCACAGAACTCTCAAAACTCTTGGGATTTCTTGAAAAACAGGAGTGTTCTGTTATCCATAATGGGCCCCTTCTGATCACACCAGGGTTTATGCTAATGAGGTGACTTCGCAAGGGGTCCCCAGACAGCCTGAGGCGGGGCCCTGTCACCAGAAAGACCAGGTGAGCAGAGGGCTGGCACTTTCAGTCCCACACACCGACCTCAGGGAAGGGCAGGGCTAGAGATGAAGCTCTAGTGAGTGCTAGAGAGATGCTCTTGAAGAACTGGATGTGAGCAGCCTCCAGAAGGCCTCGGAGGTCCTCGAGGGTGGCAGCCCGGGACGCCCTGTACATGGCTCACTTGGCTGTTCCTAAGTTGTCTGCTTTGTAATAAACTGGAAAACACAAGTCAAGTCCTGCCTTGACTTCTGTGAGCCCCTCGAGCAAATGACCTAACATCAGGAGGGGTGCGGATTCCCAACTTGTAGCCATGGGTCAGAAATACTGAGGGCAGGACCAACAACTGGCACCAGTGGTGTGACGGTCCTGTAGGCCTGCGGGAGACCAGAGGGCCAGTGTGAGAGCTGGGTTAAGCTGCAGTGCACCCACTGGTGTTGGGGGACTGCTAAGGGTGGAAACCCAATCACCCGGTATCCGCATTGTGTAAAGGAGCACAGTGATTTCTCGGCCTTGAGATTTGCTTGAATGGCCTGGCTCACAGACACGTGAGGTTTGGGAGGAAAAAGATAAAAGTGGGGGAATGAAGAACTTTGACTCCTGGGTGGCCACGTAGTCACCCCATGTGGACAGCGACTGTGAGGTTGTTTCTGAAGGTGAAAGTTACCGGTGCAAGCTAGAGCAGAGCTGGCTCCCGGGTAGGGGAGGTGGTTCCCTGGGTACGTAAGAAGTGCAAAGTAGTACCCAGG